TTTAACGACAACCATATACAATAATGTTATGGTAACTTAACAAATTGTATTAACGATATTTTTCTCAAGACAAAATAGCGATTATTATTTTAAGACTCAGTTTGAATAACAAATGATGAATAATTAATAACTTTATAGATTAACTCATAGTGTTTGATAGGTTGACTGCTCGTTAATTATAAATTAAAGTGGCGGTTGCCAGTATTTAGTTTTATCTGATACTGTACTAATTTGTAAGTTGATAAGCGACTAGGCCTATACAATTGTGTATCATCATCCGTTCACGAATAGACAGGTATGATGTACAATGTTTTAGGAGGGACAAGTCCAATATCAGGAGTGGCAATCGGGGGGGGGGGGGGGGGATGCAGAATGCAGCAATTTGATTGTACGTCATTTATTAAAAGTACGATATGTTTTTATTAGGAACTAAACGAACTCCATTTACAAATTACCAAATTAAGCAAAAATCCCACCTTTAAATGGTCGAAAACGTCAGTGGTACCCCGCTGATAGTATGATGAAATAAACTATAAATACAGCATATCGATGAACAATAACATTTTTAATGTAAGTAGACGTAGTCAAGTTGAAATACAGAACAATATAAGACGAAGTTTAAACAGATATCGGAAATTAATAATAGTTGATTAGTAAGTCAAGAAAATAACTATCGAAAAAGTAGCCGTTCTTAAATAATAACTTATTTTAATTCATGTTGAATTCACTTTGTGGTTTCTGCTATTACCCTATGTTTATGTTTCAAAAAGGAGATTGAATCCAACAAAAATAACATAATAAAGAACTTTTATACATGTATTAGTTCAAAATAATAATATCAAAAAAGCCCAAACGATGTTTTTAAAGGGAAAGTTACGCCATTTTTTGACCAATTTTACTTTAGTCTCAGAAAATGAAATTTTTTAGCTGAGCTTATCAGTAATAATGTTCACAGCTCACAGTCGAAATTTGAGCCTTCAAATCCATGTGTGTCCAGAATTATCTACGTTGGAATGTTAAAATGGCGACTCGTCATGCAATTTTCGTACATTACTAGTACTTCTGAAGACTATTTACATATATATATAAGATTTAAAATTTAAAATCCCCCCCCCAAAATGGCGCAGCTGGCCGTTAAGGATTAGTATCTAGAGGTTTTAAAACTTATAACTGTGTAAAATTCTTCCCCACAATACAATAAACGTATTTCCAAAAACTCAACTGTTATTAACGTGTATTCACAAGTAAGTTTTATTTTTAAGCTACAGTTACATTATCCAAATTTTACACCCAAAATAATTCTGGTTTTAATAAGTATTTGCTGTAAAATAAAAATCCATTTTGAAGTCATCAGCCATCGAACCGTTGATTTCTTGCTGGGAAAATTTCACATGGTCGTCAGCTGGTGACTAATTATACGAGAAATTGTCGTCAAAAAGGAAGAGAAAGGAAAAAAATGATGGAAGTCTTAATCCGAGAATCTATTTAAATTGTCTTTGATGTGTTTATCAGTCTATTTTGGTATGATCGTCTTGGTAAATGTGGAGGAATTCAATTGAATACAAAAATTTTGCTCTCGTATTTCAACGTTCCGTAGGCAGAGATTTGTGATGCATGGCGTAGCTTTGAAGAAGTATGAAACCGGAAGTTAGTATACTAGCTATCTATCAGAATCCGCTGGAAGCGAACGTTAACCTATCATCTACCAACCAATCACCAGCTCTTGAACCCGTGATGATATTTTGTGGGTCAAAATGGTGTATATATTTGTACGTTTTTTTCAGAGGTTCGTTTTATTTGCAACCAGAGATGATGGTGATGTCTGATAGCATATTTAGGATGAAGAAGTCGCGTCAACCACCATATTAACATAGCTAGAAAAAGGGTTCAGTTCGGCACTTTCAGTTTCTGGTCAAAATAGCGTATTTGGTTGCAGCTGTTATCGAAATCATGCAGCACTCTCGTATGGATATGTTGTTAAAACAGTGGATGTGGGGAATGCTAACTCATTTCTAACAAAATTACTAGTATCATTTGTTTACGTTTTCGCACCACATTGGTGCAACATTGCACCGAATTAATTCTGTTTTTCACAAATTATTTTTGGGAACTACCCTTTTTGACGCTTGCCAATATTATGCCTCCCGAGAGCTGTCGCATTTTAAATCTCAACTTTGATAGTTGTCCCCCATTATGTCAGTCCGCTCCCTCATTGCTCCCCCAAGCTTTGAGAGGCTGACGCGGCCATTGTGTTGAAATAGGTCATAATGAGTCATATTAATAATAATGGGTCATTGCGATTGGGTATGGGTAAACTGGAAAGAGGTCCCACTTAAGACCCACTGATAGTTACGCTCCTCAGGAATTCAAGTTGTTATACACGCAGTAAGCGAATGCTATGTATTTTCGGCTTAACATTATCCTGCGTTTCGCTTCATATTTTCTTTCAAAATTGACCTATTCAATAACTTTGTGGAATCAAGAAAAAAAATAAACACTTACTTGTATTAAATCGAAATGATTATATAAAGAACAATTTCATGCCGTTATGATTCTAGTTTGTCTTTTGTATTTACAAATGATTAATTTTTCAACGTGTTTTTTCAACTTAATCAATAACATGACATTTTTTCAAGAAGCCGATGTGGTATCGTTTGACTTGTTTACATGAAAATTGAGTATTGAAATCCCCTTTATGTCACGTTTAGAGTGGTGTCTTTTTAATCGAGATGATAATTCTTGAAGTACAAAGATTCGATTTTCAATATCCGATATATCATAGGGATCAGGCTTCAATATGTTAACTGATCTGGTACTTTTCGTTCAGACAGTAACACAGACCACAAACATCAAGCAATCATCGACGGTCTGACGAAGTTCTTTCAAGGTGCAAATTTTAGGCAATGATAATTCTTGAAGTTCAAAGCTTCGATTTTCAATAACCGATATATCATAGGGATCATATTGTTCTAAGAATTCCTTAATTGTTATCTGATCTGGTACTTTTCGTTCAGCCCACAAGTTACTACCCGCCATCGATGATCTGACGAAGTTCTTGAAATTGGTATGATAACCAATCAAAATCAAGCTGTTAAAAAACAAAACAAATTTATGTTTATCATTTTGTGTATTCCGGACAAATCCTCACATATCTTTTATTCAACAGAGATTTGATCGGTTGAATATGCCAATTAACTATCACACACGTTGTAAAGCAATTTCGTCAGATCACGGATGACAAGTTGACGAGAGAAACGAAATCTCGAGATCTCTTCTGTTCGGCTAAGAGACGACACTCGAGAGCATTGCTATACCATGGCATCAGTTCTTGTACAGAGTTTATGGTACCCTGACGACTTCTCTGCACAAACATTCTGTGATCATAAGTTTTGTCATCGATGGTAAATCGATCATTAAATTCAAAAATACATGTTCGTATTTAAACAGATCACTGAAGATAAAAATAAGCATGTAATTAATTGATAAATTATTGGTAAAGAAATCGTTCTTTATGCAATAGAATGAGAATGATCGTGTCAAAATGTCGTTTAGTATTGTTTGTTTTATATTTTTTTTAATAAGGTACGTATTGATGATAAGTCTAATACCGCTCAATTCCATCACGAGGAAAACTGTGACAGTTTTGCATTGAAGCCGATAGATGGTTGTCCTAAGTCAGGCATGTGCAACCTACGGCCCGCGGGCCAATTGCAGCCCGCGAGATGATATCGTGCTGCCCGTGGCGAGCAAATGCTTCGTTTGCTCTTGTCAATGTCGTTGTATCCAGTTTGTTTTGCTTATTCTGATATCGTTACCCGAAATTGCATGTTTCTCATTGTTAATTCCGTGATTTATTGATGGTTGGTTACGTAGCCCATGGCCTACTCGTATCCAACAAAGGTGGCCTACCGTTGTGGAAAGGTTGTACAGGCCTGTCCTAAGTGATGTTACATCAAAAGTACGAAGGAAATAACCTACATGAATGTTGTTTTACAGAATAGATATGGTGATGTGCTAAGTGACAGAAAATTTTAAGGTCCGTTATAAATAACACTTTTAAAAGGGACATATATGACTTATCGTATATATCTATATGAACTATTGGACCAGTAATTACCTGGATGATGAAGACTATTCATCATTGAACTAGGCACGAAATTAGGGAAATTTTCTTAAATTGACAATAACGAAAAATCAGGACAGGAAAAACTCCAGAAATAAAAGAATTCTTTCACAAATGATGTTCATTTCATACAAAACATGCATGTAACTATCCGTTTATATTTATGGAGGCCATTTAACTCTGTCCCATAGAAATCCACCTTCATCGTTCTCAAGAATGAGCTCTTGAAAAACCAACCTTTAGTTATTTTCTAACATTTATTTCAAAGTTAACGCATCCATATACACCATCTGTAGGAATTCTTGAATAATTGGAAGTAAGGAACGCCCACTTCCGTAAACAAACATTTCAATTGGTGCCTGGTAAGATTCATTTGCTTGAATGACAGTTGAAAAAAGGCAAGAAAATGTTTCTTATAGATTTTTTGTACTGTCAGAAATTCAATTAAAGTGATTTTAATGGCTAAGTCCTTATCTATTTCTTGAGGTTTTGGAAGAGAATTTCCCAGCTTCAATTATGGTAGTAACGAAAGAAAGTAATTTACTGTTGAAAGACTGGAATGGGCATCTATATTGATTGGAGACGTCAATAAGATGAAAATGAGTGACATTTCTACAGAAAGTGACCAGCACGCCTTCCTCTTATCCCAACCTCATATCAAAAGTTATATTTGTTGGCATATAACGACCTATTGATCCAGCAAGTCTAATCGATGCATTTTTCTGCGGCATTTACCCAAAAGATCTTTCCAACTTCCAGCCCACCTGGCGAAATTCTCAACAATTTTCAAACGATGTCGGAGAAAATAAACTCATTTTCTAATGTCATGTTATGTGACATTCTTGCTAATATCGCCACGCGACCAACACGCGTTAACATGTCACTCTTACAGCAACAGCAAACATCAACGTCTACGCTAAAGAAACCACCAACGATGTCAACGTCGACACGCACATTACCAAAAAGTAAGTAAAGTATTTCTGTAAATTTTTCTGTTATCATCACATTTATGATAATGCTCAAAATAAGTAATCATACATTACTTAGTCGATTTAAATGTACCAAGAACAATCGAATATCCATCGACTTTTTACCAGTTTTCTAAAAGGGGTATATTGTATTTTGTTTTAATATTTTTGATTTTTAATAGAGTTCAATTAAGCTTTCTACGTTAATTGCCATACTAGTCAAAAATTCTGACGACAGGCTTCCCTGGTAATTATGTATCTTGGAAAAAAAATTCTACGGATAAGTAGCCTAACATTGTAATTAGATGATTTAATCAAAAAAGTAAAAAAGTGGGCGGAAAGCACCGAAATCTATGTAATAAGGGATGGTTATGTCTTTAATACTAGCAGGTCTGCATAATCTTGGATTCCATAATACAAATGTTTAGCCGGAAACAATATCTGTCTAACTAGATGTCAAAAAAAATGCTTGAATATAGATCTCTTGAGGCGTTTCGGCGATCTTTCGACGAAACTTGTTGACAAGCGATAATAATAATAAAAAAAATTTCTTCAATTTTTTTAGAAACCACACAATCAAAAGTTTTTGAATCCAGCAAATGCGTGTAACAGTTACATTATGCTTTTATAAAAAAAAATTATTTAGAAATATATCTGTAGACTCGGTCAAAGAAATTTTTTTTAGCTTTTGTATGAAATTGTATTTGGAATTTTAACTATACATATTTGTCATCTCCAGTTGAGATTACGATGTCCGAAATTAATCAATCGTAATTAATGAAATTTGATTTGTCCAAATGTAAAACATAACTTACATAACATTCATACAAAACTGAAAATAGACCTTGAATGAATTTTGAAATTTGAATTTTACTCTATTGATAATTGTAAAGTACTAAAGTTTACATGCGAATATTAATTTGTATTCTAAAATATACAGTTAATGGACATTGAAAATCATTTTCTGTGTCTGTGGCATCAAATTATTTCAGAGAGTTAGTGATTGAATTCAAACGCAACACAGATTTACTTTCTTTGCATATAAAAGATAGTAATTAAAAAAAAATCAGAAAGGATACGTTCCAAATTTTTCAAATATTTTGAACAATATAATTATAGATAATTATAATGAATGACCAAATTAAGAATACCACACCTTTTTTACTGAACTTGCTAAATTTTCAAGTTGCTAATTAAATAAAGGGACAGTCTGATTTGTAAAGTAGTTTGGGAAAGAAGGGTACCGATAATAACGAAAACAACATACCAAAATCTAGAGAAACGTTTCTCATTACCTTATCTAAAGTTCTAACTGAAAGTATCTTTCCTTGAATTTTAAAACGCAAAAACTATTTTAAAAGTTTACGTAAACCTTATAAATTTGCTATGTTTGGGTTGTACGTATATCATCGAAAGACTGATAACTTACCAAACAAGCTTTGCTCAATTAGAACATTTCAAAAATGGAAACCAACATCAGCATGAAATATTTAGCTTACTGATTCCATTTATTTGGTTTTATGAGTGCTCTATAAGTACGTAATTAGAGCCCGGGCCATAACCTGCAATAAGTTAATTTCTGAATTTCGGTTGGTTTCTAACGGTTGCGTCAGGAGGAGTAGGTTTACCAAAAAAAAAATCTATTAGATCACATTTTAAATATCGAATATAAATGGTTAAAACTCACGTTAGATAATACATTTTCAAATTTGAATGGTGTTGGTCCCTCAGTGGCAATAATCAAAATCGAAATCGACGTTGGAGATATTTTTGGTATTCATAGAACTAGGGCAGTAATATGATATATTATATATTTGTTATTTTTGATAGCGAGAATAAAAACTGTACAAAGTTTCTCTAAAATCTACGGAAATGATTCCTTTTTAAGCTAAACGGACTAATTATCTATTTCCTTCGGTTGGTCCATCCACAATATTGTTCAAGAAGACACGACTGATTTTTGGCGAAACTTATGATGCAATTGCAAAATTTTGTTTTGAAAATTTAGAATTTAAGGTGAGTTGTTGTTCTCTTCGACATGTTCAGTTTTCATTCAAATAGATACATTTCTTAATGGAATTTTGACATTGAAAGTGGAAGTGTTAATTTTCACTCAAGGATAGAGTGGTACGGAATTTCAATAAAAAATATTCAACTGTCTGTCTATATGTTTCGAAGCCTTGTAAACTCAAAACTTTTGTGACAATTCGTCAAGATTTCTGCCTTTGGGATGTGAGACAGCTATATACTAAAATAAAATGTAACCCGAAAACCAGTAGCGGAGCCAGGTTAACGACCATTATACCATTAAATAACATTATCAGAGATCAAGAATACCATTAAATAACATTATCAGATAATATAGTAAATAACATTATCAGAAAACGTAATTATATAACATTGACAGAGATTGAAAATACCATTAAATATCAGAAAAAGAGGATACCATTAAAAGAGAAAGAGAATATCATTAAATAACATAATCAGAGTCGAGAAAGAGAATACCATTTAAAAACATTATCAGAGATAGAGAATACCATTTAACAAACATTATCAGAGTTAGAGAATACCATTTAAAAACATTATCAGAGAAAGAGAATACCATTTAAAAAACAATATCAGAGATAAAGAATACCATTTAAAAAACATTATAAGAGATAGAGAATACCATTTAAAAAACATTCAGAGATAGAGAATACCATTTAAAAAAACATTATCAGAGATAGAGAATACCATTTAAAAAACATTATCAGAGATAGAGAATACCATTTAACAAACATTATCAGAGATAGAGAATACCATTTAAAAAACATTATCAGAGATAGAGGAGAATACCATTTAACAAACATTATCAGAGATAGAGAAAAACATTTAAAAATAGAGTCGAGAAAGAGAATACCATTTAAAAAACATTATCAGAGAGAGAGAATACCATTTAAAAAACATTATCAGAGATAGAGAATACCATTTAAAAAACATTATCAGAGATAGAGAATACCATTAAAAAAACATTATCAGAGATAGAGAATACCATTTAAAAAACATTATCAGAGATAGAGAATACCATTTAAAAAACATTATCAGAGATAGAGAAAAACATTTAAAAAACATTATCAGAGATAGAGAATACCATTATCAGAAAAAATGACTATCATTAATAATAATAATAATCGTTGATAGCATTAAATAATATTATCGGCAAAAGAGAATACCATTAAATAAAATTATTTAAACTAGTCAAGTATTAAATAACTTCAACCGAGAACTGACATACAGTTAAGAAAGCATTATCAGAGAACGAAAATACCATTAAATAACATAAACGGGGATTGAAAATAACATTAAATAACATTATCAAACAACTGAGAATAATACAAACAGATAATGATAAGACCATTCAATATTACATAACTTTATCAGATAATGGTAATACATTCAAAAACATTATCGGAGAAAGAGAATACCATTCAATAAAATTATTTAATCGGGTCAAGTATTAAATAACTACATCCGAGAACTGACATACAATTAAGAAAACATTATCAGAGAACGAAAATACCATTAAATATCATAAACTAGGACTGAAAATATCATTAAATAATATTATCAAATAACTGAGAATAACACTGACAGATGATGATTATACCATTAAATAACTTTATCAGATAATGGTAATACATGTACCATTAAAAACTTTAACAGATAATTAGCACCATTAAATAACATTATCGGAAAGGGAATATCATTTAATAACATTATCAAATAACAAATAACAGATAATGATAATACCATTAAATAACATTAACAGATAACCATTAAAGGGTATGATCAGAAAATTTCAACTCGCCTTGAACCCTTGTTTCTGTGTCAACAAATATTCTTATTTATACTTTAAATATAAATGAGCCTTGAACCACCCCGAATTACATGACGACATACTGCAGTAACAGAGTCTCGTCATCTGTTCTTCTTATTTCGCAACGATCATGGTACATGTAGATATTAAAGTATCAAATGCTACGGTAGGGTTTAATGTTTTCAAAAAATGTTTTTGGCACTATCAGAGGAAGAGATCAGTGTGAATCTAAAATCTAAGACAGCTTCTCTGTGGAATCCTTTCAAATAAATGTACTTCTAAAATAGACGGCCTAGTTTAACAATATAAACACAACGGAGTTATCTGTTGCCTTGAGTCTCAGACCCATTAGTGCTCGATTTTTAAACCTCAACGTGACTTCATAAATAAAGGAGAAATTAAAGCATTAAAGCACAATAAATTTCATTAAAATGACTTCAGGGAATGTACTAAGAGTGACTTCAGATTTTCTATAGAAATATTTCAATACCACAACTTACCTGATATTAAATTGCCTCCGTGTTTCGCAATTTTTTGAGAAAAAAACACGTTTTGTTTTTGGATTCAGTTTTAAGTAGAAAAAGTTCATATGAAAATTTCCTTTAAGTGCATGGATGTACGAATTTCTGCTTCTGATAAAGCTATTATAACGAGCAATGCAGAGTATATATGTTATGGTTGTCCCATCCGAATAACTTGACTCGAAAAATATTTTTCAGCCACACAGTTACCCTATCTCTGTGGCTTTACCAGCATCGATCCCAGTAACCGGTGTAATCGTCTTCATTGCTTAGAGGGGGGAAAATTATTTTTTTAAATTTAGGGATTCTCCATATCTTATTTTGGAATGCGATCAGTGGATGGGAATGATATGAAATGAGTTAACCACTTTTCTGATGGAGAAAATCTTAACGAGGCGGTGCCGTCACTCGCCAACACTTTTCCATTTAGCTCCCTGAAAATGGATGGCCTCTTTATTGTACGGAAAAACTCTTCTGTGTACCTTATCTACGCACTTTTGAACATGGAATAAAAATATTCTGAAATCTTAGAAACTAATGGATGTACATAACTACAAACCATCAAAATAGAAATCAGAAATCCGGATAGACTTGAAATGAAAATTTCACTCTGGAAAATAAAAGATGTTTCACTGCTATTGTGGCAATTTTTTCTTGACTTCCTTAGATAACGGCAACCATTGAAAAGTTGAAGTGTTTAAATTGTCGCGCCCTTGAGTTTCAGACGACAATGTGAAAAGCGCGGGAACAATGGTGAAAATGTTAAGCCATTAGCTATTTCTATGATATATTGTTTTGATGAAAATCAAACATATCCTAAATAGAATTATTTAATTGAAATATTCAAGTTGTGTTTCCTGCTGCAATTGTTTCAGCATTTTCATTTTGCTTTTGAACGAACTCAGTAAGTTTATTTTTTGATTTGAGGATTTAGAACTAATGACCTTTGTACTTTATGAAATGGTTTTGAGCGAATGTATTGTTAATTGACGTATTTATCGGTTTGTTTAAATTGAAAATCGAAGCGGATGTCAGTATTTTTCTTTGCTATGTGTACTGTTGTCTTTTGTTAAGATTGTTAAGTTATTGTTGTTTCTCAAGTTAAATAAACTTCTAAATAATTTAGTAATAGGTTATCGGATTTAAAACAATATAATTTCTTGATTTCCAAAAGACTTCGATTTTGAAGGTATACATTATTTGTTCATTGTTTAATATTTTCTATTATTGAATTATTTTATCTGCATTAGGACTTAATTTCAGTAAATCCATTTCTGTTGAACAGAGGAAAGCACTTAATTTAGTAAATACTAGTACTGACACGATAAATCGGTGAATCGATGTATCGCGATACGACATATCACGATACGCGTATCGTATCGCAAGGTCGTGTATCGATACTAGAAGATACCTCTCATTCCATAAAAAGTGGGAAGTGAAGTTGGTGAATGAAATCACATTTTTTTTCTCACTGACTGGAATTTAACAATTCACCACGACGGTGAAATTCACATAATTATGTACATATTTAATTACTATAAAGAGAAAATTAAATCCAAAATAGCTAAATTTTGACGTTTTATTATTAGTAATATTCCATTAGTTTTCTTGACTATCCCCTAAAAATCACAATAACACTTCTTTACCTCGTAAAATTCAAGATTTATAAGAAGACCTATTAAGCAAACGTTTCACTGGATACAGATACGTTACCAACCATTTAATGTATACAAACCATGATGCGACATTGTCGATCAATTTACTGCATAATAGACCATTTTGAGTGATCGTCGTTACCAACTGATCCAATGCGACATGCGACATCCGTGTTCCCATCCGTTCAAATGAATATAGATACGTTACAAACCCTTTCATGGTTAAAGATGATGATGCGACAATGTCGTTACCAGCTGATATTCTGCAATCGTTCCACTGCATACATAAGATGACGCGACATCGCTGTTAGCTAAAGGTCCAATAGATTACGTTACCATCCATTTAATGTATACAAACGATGATACGACATAAGTTACCAGCCGATTTACTGCATTCGGGCCACGTCGTTGATTGATGATGCGACGATTGATGTATACGAACTGCTTCGATGGATACAGATACGTTACCAAGGGGTTTACTAGACAAACGATGATACATAAAAAATAATATAGAATATCGTGCGACAAAGCTGTGACCAACCGTTTCAGTAGATGAAGATGCATCGTCGTAATCAACGCTCTTAACAAGCGACGATGCGGCATTGTCGTTACCAACCGCTTCATTGTATACAGTCGATTCCATCTTCGCATGACAGACATAAAATACTTTGAAGACACGATTGCTTGTAATGAAAATAATTAGTATAGATCGCCAATCGAAAAGCATTAGGAATCGGAGAAAACAGAAAACCAAAAAGACGCGAAAGACACAAAAAGCTAACAAGATGTAAAAGATGGAATAACAAGGAGAGCTTAATGGTTACTTATAATAGTTTCTTCAGTGTTTGCGTAAAATTGTTGACAAAAGGAAAAGTAAATATAAAATGCATTAATAGGAGAAAAGGAGATAAATTAGCTTTGTAATTAGTTCGAGTTCACCTGTTCACTTGTTTATATCAATAATTTCTAGTGGACCTCGATCAATTCCATCTGTGGTATTTTCTACTGAACTGTGTGGTGTCGGGACTTTTAAAGACTGGTTTGTTTCTAATTCGGCTTGTAAAACGAAGCAAAGATGTAGCAATCTGAACTGATGTTCTAAATTTGAGACATGATAATCTGAACTGAATGAAGCAACGTTTTATACGTCAAACTGGACGACGAAAGGACTTAAAACTGAGCGGCATACAAATTTTACAATCCTAACTAAATTAAAGGGACAGATAAGCCATTTTTTTTACCAATCGTAGCTTAGTCTTAGTAACGGGAATTTTGTAGCTAAGCCAATCAGTAATAGTGTCCACAGCTCACCGTCGATATTTAAGCCTTAAAATCCATATGTGTCCATAATTATCCGCGTTTGAATGTTAAAATGACGATTCGTCATTTTAAGATACTCTGTGATATAATAGAAAAGAATGTAGAAATAGTGAGCAAAATTCCTAGTACTTCTGAAGACTATTTACATATATTCGAGACTCAATCAACGCATCAAAATGGCGCAATTGTTCCTTTAAGAATTTTAAAATTGAAATGAACGACACATTAACATGGACGTTATAATATGAACTGAACAGACTTTTAAATTTAAGTATGAACAACTTATAGGCATTGCAATAAGCACTGCTTTGGATTCGGAACGAATACGATTTCCTTGCAAGATTCCGTCCACTTACTTAATTGGAAGATTAAATCTATACCAACATAGATAAGGTTAACTCATATTCATTTTCTGTGGTCTATTTTGTTATTAAAACAAGACCCTGATATCATTTCGATATCCGTAAAGTGTCATAACACTTAAAGTCGTGATCAAAGGGAAGTTGTAGAAACTTCTGACGCTAGTTGTGATGTTAGCCATCGAAAATCTGTCTTTCAATATTGTTCCTGGATTATTAATGAGACGATTGATATATTGACCTATGTATTCATAATATTTTCAAGTAGCTAATTAAATCGTATGAATAACATTGTGGTCTGTTATTTGAAAATAACTTTATAAGTTTTTTTTTGTTATTCTGATGACTTTGTGAAATTTATTTTATTAATGAGCTAATTAGATGATTTTTAAGATCTCAGTCCCTAGATTTACCAAAAAAAGACTTTTTAACCTTTCCTGATCGGTCACTCATTGTAATTCTGCTGGTAATTCTCTTCTAGTTTAGCTAATTTAGAGGACATGTGAGACTAACTGGTATTTTTCCAAGTCATTAGAACACCTCTATTTTCTTTTCATATAAGTATTAGCATTGACATTTTCATAAATGAAATAAGGGAACCCATCTTTAACAATAGCAAATGGCGCCCCATCAACAGAACAAGCTTAGATTTATTGTTTCAATAAATAAATGAAATATAATTACATTTTTTTTCCGGCGAAGAGTTAACCCAAGATCATAACGTTTACAGATCTGGACATAATGTCGGTTGACAATACACTAAAAAAATGTCCGCGTGAAAAACAATAAATATGAGTCAAGATCTAACTTATAGATATTATATTTTTGGCTCTTAGAATTTTTTTTTCATATTATAATATTCACTCAAATTTCATTTAATTAGGAATTTTTTTTTTGGTATTGTTTTATATACCAAATTTGTTAAACTATTGTATATATATTTTACTTTATGAAAGAGCCTGAAGGAAAGTCTGGGTTAGTAAAATGGTACTCGTCACATTTGACTAAATCGAGAGAAATTTCAGTAAACGGCAAAACGTAAAGAATTCTCTGGAATAAAACAAACATCCATTAAGAGAAGTACGACGTTCTGCAACACCGGAACTTCTTGGCTTACGGGGTATTCTTTTCTCAAGACTCCATATTTGCCTTTAAAAAAAGATGTCGGCTATAGACGAAGAGAACGGATGGCAAACAGTAATTATAAATGTATGGTTAAAGTGTCATCACTGAACGGGTTGGCCTTAGACGTCAATTGAAGCGTGTGAATACAAAATTGAACAAATCGATGCACTCGCTGGATAAATACGTTGCTTTTTCTTCTGACTGCCGTCAAGCAATTTAAGTCAATGACGTGGGCTTTTATCGCAAATACAAGGGCATCGATATTTCATCAGGCGCCACTTTCTCGCTTGTACCGTCAGCCGGTAAAACAAGGAAAAGTTCTCATCACATCAAAGAAGGTGAAGATGAAGAATTAAAAGCATCTTTTCTGGGATATTTTCTCTCTATTTCTATATAGCCATCGTGGCAGTATAATTACTAATGATGGAACCAGCGAGTGAAAGCAATCAATTTGTTATTTCTCGAAAGCCGATTTGTCGTAAGCGACTACCTCTCAACGACTTTCAATAGCAGGGGGCACGGCTTAACAGCCACAATAACGCCTCGGGATAATTGTTTTACATAAGGTGGCGATTGAAGGTTGCAAAATCGGAAAATCGCCTTTCTTGAAGAGTATTTAAGTGAAAACTTATGGCTTTCCAGCAGACTTTTCCCAGCGTTCAATCGATGTTAAAACCATTTTCTTTTTTCGTCTTAATTCATGTCATTACTAGACCAATATTGGAAAGTATCAAGCCATTTTCGATCTATTTAATTCATGATAGATTTAAAGGAATAAGTTCTTTTCAAAGTGACATTGATTTGCCAAATTAAAGCCATCTCATCCGTAATTTTAAACTAATCTGATTTTGCACAGCACCAAAATGTTTCCATGTTCTAATATGGGCTCTTGTCCGTCTTGAAATTAAAAGGTCTACTGTTTCAGGTGGTCGTCTATTAGATATACCACGTAATGTAAGCTCCACTGTTTTAGGTGATCGTATACTAGATATATTATGGAAGGATTGTTCTACTGTTTCAGATGATCGTCTATTAGATATACCATGTAATGTTAGTTCTGCTATTTCAGATGATCGTCTACTAGATGTACCTTGTAAAGTTTGTTCTACTGTTTCAGGTGATCGTCTACTGGATATACCATGTAAAGATTGTTCTACTGTTTCAGGTGATCGTCTATTAGATATACCAAGTAAAGTTTGTTCTACTGTTTCAGGTGATCGTCTATTAGATATACGATGTAGGGTTAGTTCTACTGTTTCAGATGATCGTCTATTAGATATACCATGTAATGTTAGCTCTACTGTTTTTGATTATCGTCTACTTGATATACCATATAAAGATTGTTCTACTGTTTTAGGTGATCGTCTACTGAATGGATATACCGAGTTAGGTTTGTTCTGTTTCATGTAATTGTCTACGAGATATATCATGTAAAGTCTTGTTTCAGGGGGTCGTCTTCTAGATATACCACAAAAGCTAGTTCTACTGTTTCAGGTGGTCGTCTATTAGATATACCATATACAGTTAGCTGTCTGTTTCAGGTGATCGTCTACTAGATATACCATGTAAAGTTTGTGGTGATAGAAGTTCTGGTAAACACTATGGAATTTACAGCTGCGATGGTAAGTAGTCGTTTGTCCAAAAAATAATGAAGTACAAGTTAAGAACATGCTTTGGTTTGGTTCTTTATCCAAAAACTTGTGTAAGGCATGTAAATTGAGCACCGTCTATTCTCAAAATAAGAAGAGGATCTGATAGGAGTTGCAACTGAGCCTGTGTTTAATTTCGAGCTCTGAAACATTACAAGTCTGAAGAGTGCATATCTGACTGAATGGATCTTATCGCCAGGAAATAAACAACCAAGTGTATGTACAATGCAATTTTTACAATACAGTTATTTATGAAAATTACCTATTGTTGCATCCGTAGGCTGTTCGGGATTTTTCAAGAGAAGCATACATAAGAACAGAGCCTATACCTGTAAAGCCCAAGGTGAAATGAAAGGAATGTGTCCCATTGATAAAACACATCGTAACCAATGTCGATCTTGTAGACTGAAGAAATGTTTTGATGCTGATATGAACAAAGATGGTAAGGATCTTTCTGGGCTGACATGACCATGCATAAGAATCTATTGATATTCATTCTAACTTGATTTTGCATCAGTTGACCAGAGCAAAATCTTTGCGGTCGAAAAGTGTTTCGAATATAAATTTCATCTTCAGGAAAGCGGAATTCTGCCTTGTAGTTATATTTTGTTAGAAATGATTTTTATTTTCATGAAATTCTATTGAAATATAAAACATCTTCAAATTCCCTTATAAGACTCTCATTTTTCAGCTGTTCAACACGAAAGAGGCCCAAGAAAACCAAAGCTTAAAGGAACTGATTTGTCTTTGGGCCATCATCACAATCAGCATGGTCACCACCGTCAAGTCACACAAGAGGTTCCAATAGATTTGAGAGTGACAAGCTCGCCAAAGAACACATTTCCTTTACCCCAAGACTGCATAACAAATATAGCATCAAATCCAAGTCGTCAACTGATGCTTATGGGTTACATGAGGAACGACTTCAGTGATATGGTACGGCTTCAAGCTCCGTCAGCTTTCTCGTCGCCGGTGATGACGTTCCAACGAGATGTTTGGCATGAAGTGATGGCTCGACTACTCTTTACTATAATTGGTTGGGTGAAGCAAATTCCAGCTTTTATGATACTGACCGAGGCTGACCAGGTTAGTATGATCCTCTGTATTATTTTTCCACATAGTGAATCCTTCATTTCAGTTAATAGTAGCAATTCAGACTCAGAATATGTTTTTCTTTATTCACGATTATTCACAGATTGGTGACCTTGGTATTACATTTAATGTAAAATGAAATGAAATGAATGGAGTTTTACGTTCTTCTCTTCTGCGATTGATTGGGCTAATGAAGACGGTACATTTGATGTTCATGATATGTATATAAGTATGGCGTCGACCGAGACATTTGCAATATGAGAATATAAAGTAAGATAGGATTTTGAATACAAAAGAGGCTAATCAACACGGACCTGATCTTTCTCTTTGGATATACGTAAATTTCAGTCTGGATGGATGAGGCTATGACTATTTAAATCCCAAGCTGATCTACGCTTATTAGCTGATAATCGGTACTATACCAGAAATCTTTACGAATACGGATTTTCGGACAATTGGTCGACAAAATACTACAAATTGTGTTATATCTCATAAACTAAAACTCTTTGGAAGCCAATTTTTTTTGGAGCGAGCTTTAAATTGCAAGAGGAACATCTTCAAAAAAATTCGCTTCTGAAATCAATATTTTTTTGTTTAAAATCGTTGATTTTTCTCCAGTTAGATACGAGTAATTCCGAACATACCGTGACTCTAAGGTTCAGAATGTACCGACTGATTAGGCCAATTATCACCAATCATTGACATTCAGATTGAATTTTAACTCAGTTACTAAACTCTGAACGCTGGTTGGATAATTCGATATTGAAATTTGTAGCCAATCAGAAATGAGTATGAGCATTGATTGAGAGGAGATCACACGGTGTTCTAACTTCGGTCTTTTGTTTATTTCGGCGATATTTATGCGGGATCTAACATTTTACGGAATAATGACGCGGAAATATATCATAAACGTCAAAAATTACGCAAATAAGCGGAAAAGCAACTATACGAGATTGTCGTATGGACTTTGTTTTCGAAAATTGGCATTCACGAGATTTACATAGGTAACTGGAAAGTGGGAGTTCGGACGATATACACTGCTAGTTCCATAATACGTACCATTTTGTTCTTCGATTAGGATCCCGTCTTCATTAGTGCAGAAACGTAGGACGTAAAACTCCATTCACTTCATTTCGATTAGGATCGTTACATTGCCCCTCCAGTTTTTTAAATTTTTGGTAAACATTGATGATTGACCTTCCATATTCAGAGAGTATTGCTCACCACGTCTTGGAAAGATCTGTTTCTGTTGGGAATAGTACAGTGGGGACTACCAGTTGATGTTAATGGTATCCACAGATCTATCAATTTTCTCGGCAATGTTGGTGAGATGAACCCTACCACAGAACTGGATCGACTTACTGAAACCATAGCTAGATTGAGAGAAATGGCGCTAGATCCGACAGAGTTGACCTGTTTAAAAGCAATATGTCTCTTCAAATCAGGTAAGGAAGTTAATCACGCTGGTCGTAAAGTTGCTTAAGAGCATTACTGCCAGTGATGTAGGTCTCAGGAGTGGATACCCAGGATGGTGCTATACATTGCCAAACATTGTTCAACAGACCATGTTCAGGAGCGGAACCATGTAGAATGTCTTTATTAACCAAACAATAAGCAAAAGATAACCCATAAAAACCAATCTTTTTTTTTCTTTATGTAACAGATGGGACAAATCTTGTGGATGTTAAAACAGTAGAAAATCTTCAAGAACAAGCGCATCTGATGTTAACAGAACACATTCAACTTCAATATCCACGACAGATGGTGCGTTTTGGACGGTTGTTGATGCTGGTCTCAAAACTGCAAACTCTGAAACCTTCTTTTATTGAACGAGTGTTCTTCAGAACTATTGTAGGGAATATTTCCATTGAAAAACTGGTTGGAAATATCTTACAAGGCGATTTGGTTTAAATGATAACCGAGTCTTTTGGATCGGAAGTAATCAACTACCAGACGAATAAATCTAAATGTGATTTAAAGTGACATTATAGGTCCACAAAGTACCCCAGACGGCGGATCGCATCCTGATACACTTTTACTTGCGAGGGTACGAGCGACATCTCCTTTGTGCCATTGGCTTTTGATTCTCTAGCCTAGTATACAGATTTTTGGAAAGTTACTGCTTGTTTCCTATTTTAAAAAAAAGTAGAAACCATTTTGTAAATATTCCTGTATGTAATTTATTTGTAATATAAGATGTTTATAATAAATGTTATTGTATTATATATATTTGTTATTTATTACATTGTGACATATATTGTGCTAAATCTTGAGAAAAAGATAGGCAACATACTTCTGATACAAGCGCTGATGATATCTCTTTGTATTCAAATGTGGTCCAGCTTTATATTTATTGTATATTTTTGGTAGTTTTAATACGTAGGTTTTCAGCCCCATTGGCGGAGGGGGGAGGCAGAGGGGGCAGCTCCATCCCCCCTCGCAGCTCCGAAAGCAAGTTTTTCTGGCAAACATCTCATATCTAGGTTAGAAATTCGGGCAATCTCAGATATTTCCGTATGGCCTTATTATTGTGACCAAAATACCTTGTGATCGTATTACTATGACCAATATACCTTGTGCCCATATTACTGTGACCCTACTACCTCGTGCCCGTATTACTGTGACCAAAATACCTTGCGCCCGTATTATTGTGACCAAAATTCCTTGTGATCGTATTACTGTGACCAATACACCTTATGCCCGTATTACTGTGACCCTTATACCTTGTGCCCATATTACTGTGACCCTACTACCTCGTGCCCGTATTACTGTGACCAAAATACCCTGTGCCCATATTACTGTGATCAATATACCTTGTGTCCATATTACTGTGACCCTATATACCTCGTGCCCGTATTACTGTGACCCTAATACCTCGTGCCCGTATTACTGTGACCCTACTACCTTGTTTCCGTATTACTGTGACCCTACTACCTTGTGTCCGTATCACTGTGACTATATTTCCGGTGACCAAATTTCGTGTGACCAAGTAACCGTGCACCGTTTTTTCTATGCACACTATCTGTGTACCGTAGAAAAAAATATTATGGAGATTACTTATATCTTGGGCACAGATAAATGTCTGTAAATAAGGGGAAATAACCACTCAATTAACCATATAATTTCAATTTATCTCGAACGAGAGTTAATGTTAAATCGAGTAGATAGGTTGTACATTCTTAAAATATTTGACAAATCCAGATAACATAACAACCAAGTTAAAGGAAGGATTGTTGTAAAACATGTCATTCTTATCATAAACATGACCATGTAACTCAGACAACAGATGGTCCTTTCACGACCAAGTCTCTACCTGATATGAAGATTTCAACAGTATTTGTGCTATTCCTAGTGTTTTATCACTACCAAGGTAAGGGTTAAACTATTATAAACCTAAGGATAAGGCTTAAATTTGAGTTTGGGATCAGCTTAAGGTAATAATAATTTGAAATCTGCCTATATCTCACATGTAAAGAAACTCTCTGAGCTGCTGAAAGTGAAAGAAAGAGAACTGGTAGTATATTCAAAAAAGAGACAAATATTGCCCGAGTCATATATCTTATTGTGACAAATGAAATCTTGCAAAATGGTCTTCTCATGATTTATTGCTAATCCGACAACGCTGGTCCTATCCATTCATTTGACGTGATAGACGGATGGGATAAGGTCAAGTTTAGGTTTGATATCTCATCCGTATGTTGCGTCCGAGGATCGGGTACGACCAGATTTGTCGAACTAACTCCAGCTATGATTTGGGGTGACAGCGGTAAAAACTTATGTGTTCACGATGATGTTCGTTTTTCAAACGAAGTGGATGGCGGTCCAGTCAGGTGTGGTTCACCCGCCATTGAACCAGTTGGTGATGAAGATGCAAGAGTTGTTGGTGGTCGTGCTGCTCATCTCGGTGCTTGGCCTTGGACGGTAAGTAATTGATCTAAGATACCACAAGCTACCATAACAAGGGATCATGTGACAGAGACCCTCAGTGGTAGTTAGTTGGTAGTTGTGCTTCGGTTAGCATTGAAACTATTTTATGCCCTTCGTAAATAGATTGAATAACCTTATCAGATATAAATTGTACAATAAATAGTTTATTTGATACAATAATACATAAATGTAATTTTTTTTAAATAGTATTGCTTTAGTCCACACGTTCTAAAGAGATTACATGGTTTGTTTAGGTTCACTATCTATTGTTAGTTTATATTAAAAGTTTATATTGATACTAATTCGATTTTCCAAAGAACGTTTGGGAATGTAATTAAACTTCTACAGACAACAGATAACACATTGTGAATTCAAGATTCAAATGTCGCAAGAATCTGCAATGTCCTTGAAACATCAGAAAAGGCTAAAAAACGTAATATATGTACATGTATAAATAGTTGTTATAATTGGTATTTCAACAGGTAATGTTATTAGAAGTCAATATGCCGGTATGTGGTGGTGCTATCTTGAATGAAAGAGTTATCATTACAGCGGCTCACTGTTTTGAAGAGTAAGGATCTTTTAGTTCATTTAACGAAATTCTTCTGTCGCATTAGTGCTGCGGACATCAAGAAACGTCTGCTGAAAGATTGTCGCCAAATGAAGTATGCAATTATATGTATCTTGGCCTATTCTTGAAAGAAACATACTGAAAACTTTAGCTAACTTTCCTTGAGATGTGAAAGGTGATGGGTACTAAAATGTTCCCCCAAAATGCAAGAAAATTGAAAAAATAAACAGCTGTGCATGCTTTTCAGTGTCTGACAAGTCTACGTCGCACGTCAGTACGTCAGTAAACACGTCACACCCGTCAGTATACACGTCAGTAAACACGTCAGACATTTCGAAAACATGCAAAACAAATCGTCATTCTTATTTGGATGAGTGGCTGGAAATCAAACCCAGACACAACTCATTCACTCTCTTCGTACACATACCACTACGTTCTTTGGTTCAGCTATTGATTGGGACAACATTTCACTTTCCTTATCCCATTTCTTTTTGGTTTGTGTCTCCTTCAACTGTTTAACACAGACTCTTTACTCTTCCAGTAAATTGAGTCAAGACCCAACTAGATGGACAGTTACTGCTGGTGGAATAAAACAGAACACGTTTGAGTATTCTAAAAGGATGTACCAGATTGAGAGTATCATGATGTATAAAGACTATGATGAGTTTAGTGTGGAAAATGATATAGCTTTGGTGATGTTGAAATCAGAGATCAAATTCTCTAACTATATTCGTCCCATCTGTCTACCGTCTGAAAACGACACGCTAGAAGTCGGAACACCATGCTACCTTGCTGGATACGGAGACACTCATGGTAATAATAATAATGTCGTTTCCTACACAATAGAACAGAGTGCCCGAAAACAGGCAGTTCAAAGTGTTTTCAGTCAGAAAATTTCAAGCACAGCAATAATTTTTCTGGCCATTGTTGAATTATGGCTTTTTTAACCAATTTTGTCAATAATCCATGTGGAAAGTTTTACCAGTTTCATCATATTGCAGGCACAGGTGATAGTGACCGACTGAACCAAGTGAAACTACCAATAATAGCTGAAGATAAATGTTCTCAAGTAGATTGGTATGGAAATTTTTTCAAACCTAATTCGTCATTCTGTGCTGGTTATGCGCAAGGTGGTAAAGATGCTTGTACGGTAGGTTGATATATTAAAATCCTGCTGTACAATCTGATAGAAATACAGATCAAGGCAGCCAAAAACAAAACGAACGTGTTTGTGAGAGATTTTGAACTCTTCTACCAAGAATGACTTAAAAGTTGCTATGAATGCAAACTGCTAAAAAATAAATCTTTTAATGCGATGTAAGGAACACACGTTTTTCCCTTTAGCTCTCTACTAGATCGGTTGCCTGTTATGTGCAGGATTCGCTTCCCTACTTAATCGGACCGTCTTGATTTCTTAATCATTAACTATTATGTGTTTTAGGGAGATAGTGGCTCGCCTCTAGTATGTCGAAGAAATTCAGAATGGCAGGTACATGGTAAGTGGGTAGAATCAAGTCCGATTTGATTATGGTCATAAAATAATGAATTTCTATTTTCTATTTTTTATATTGAGATGAAAACTGGGGCAATGCACCGAAGGGGGCACTCACGTGAATCACTAACCTTACATGTGTTTTGGAGATCATTGTAGGACTGTGCCTAGGTAAGGCACAGAATGCTTGATGTTAAATGTCTTCATTATGAAGGCGTCAGACCTTTTGGACTTACCACATAGCTGCCGGCCTAATAGATACCCAGGGTTCTTTGTTACTGCACTGGGTATAAGTAATCCTATTAGTAAAAGGTCGATTGTGATTATGACGTAATTGCCAGGATTGACTTTATATTTTACTTTCAGGAATATCAAGCTGGGGTTACGGTTGTGCTGAACCCAAATGGCCTGGTATTTATACGCGAGTTAATAAATATTTACCATGGATAAACCATCATCTTAATGTTCGATCTGGTCTTTTGGGAAAATAAAATAACAAGTAGTTGTTCTTTCTAATCTATGAGAACTTTGAATTCAAAAGGTTATATTATATTACGATTATATCCAACACATAAGATGAGATGTTTATAATTATTGTGCTTTCTTAATCTCACTTATTGAAAGCAAAATGGCTCTATATCGAGAGAATGGAGACCGAGATAAATATCTATAAAGCAGTTTGGAGAATCTCGACCCTACCCTTATTCCGACCATGCCTAATGCAAGAATATGTTCCGTCCACTACAGATTCCACACGTAAAGGGACGAAGTAGAGGTATCGCGTCCCACTTTTTTTACCTTACAAAATGGAGAATTTAATATTGTCATTGAAAAAAACCCCAAAAATTAATTCTATAATTTCATTTATTTACACAAGTATTCCTTATAATATACACAAAATTTGATCATGAATTATCTATCACACTAAAATATAAATAATATCACCACTTCATTGTAAAATTAAACGTAACGTAAGTTGTAATTTTCTGCATGTACATTGTGCCATAGAACTGTAATAATATTATACTTCTATGATTGTGCTAAGCGTCAACGGTTCCAGTACAACCACCAATAAGCAAGACATTTAAAAACCAAACTCAGTATTAATTTATGTGAGCAATTAAGAAACATATATTCCACATTCACTTCCACTGCAAGCCCTGCGTTTAGTTATCAAGACGTTACGCAATGGTTTTGTAATGTAAAATATTTTGGATTGTCATCTCAATAAGCTAAAGGTTTTAGGGAAAAGGTTTTGAAGAAGCCTGAAAGCAGGGGTGATCAAGTATAACGATCCAAGATAAAAAAAAAAATGGCCAAAACCATTAGAAGTAAAGATAATAGAGTGAAAATCATAGTATTAAAGCAAGTTATTTAGAATGCTTGACAGTGGTCTGAGATTGAAATCAAAAGCGCAAAATCCATATTTTAGTACATAATTATATCGCTGTAGGTCAATATTTTTGGAAGGAAGTGGAACGTACATGTAATTCCAAAATGGTAGGGTTTATCTCGCTATTAACGAGCGGCAATTATACAATCGGCAATACTTTAACAAAGGAAAACAACAATAAATAAATAAAATATTTCAATAACTTTGTGATGGACTTTTCAAGATACAGGAAAATTTAAAGATTAAATACTGTTCAACTGATAGACAGTCTAATTAGATTTAGACCAAACTTTTTTAATAACTTTTAGCCATTTCAGTTAGGGTCTAACGACAGCCCTCTTGACCGTTTGTCAAATCAACCTTTTGATTAACCCGATGACGTCTGCTTCAACCAATCAAATTTCTACCCTACCCAGCGCTAGTAGTTAGTGACGCGGTGTTTATCGGGTTAGGTCAAAAGGTTAGACCCTAACTGAAGTGGCTATATTAAAAATAAAAGCTAATAAAAAAAACGGAACGAAAGTTTGGTCCATTTGTAATTAGACTGACTAATAAATTTAGGGTTGCAATGAAACTACAAATATCAAGTCTGTAACTTCATTTACCAAAATGGCAGCCTTCATTACATAATACATATGCTTTTAGCATTTCTAATACAAGCCAAAATAACCTCCACTCAAAGCAATACGAAATTCTATGCGATATGCCATTTAGATTATATTGTGTACAATATGCCAGTAAGCTTATGCCTTGATGCCCCTTAAAATTACTGGAGTAAGTATGACATGCGCATTCACACTATAATACTGTCATGGATAATCCAAATAGGCCCTATATAATGGTACAATCATAAATACGGTTAAAATGGTTACAAAAATATATACTTTGGTTACATTCATTTGTATAGTTGTGCAGAAGGAATCAAAAAGTATGATATGTGCTTTCGTTACCGTATACTTATTCTCAAATATGAAAAAAAAATGATAATGGCAGCTGTGTATTGTAAGTTTACAGAAGAAATTATATAGTGGATCGAATATGAACTTCAAGAAAGGGGAAATAACTCTAATGTAATGAAATTTCCCGCCAACAAATCCATTAAATCGGCTGCCTTAACTTTTGAGACCAATATTGATGAGTGTCATGGATATGCGAAGATGAACGATATACACCAATCCCTGATGTTGAAATGAGACCAATTTGCACCAATGAAATATATACGTCTGCTTTACGTTGTAAATATATGTGACCTTTCAGGTACAGTTTTTTTTTCATCATTCGGCAACTCTCGGCAGTTTCCGTTAAGCCGAATCTACCTAGGTAAGGAATGGAACGAATTCTTGTGTCATCTTGGGCGAACCTCTTTATTTTGACATTTCACCACAGGTTTTCGAGCTATTTTCGTTTTCACAAGGATTGCATTCGATTTGTATTCCTCATTGAGCCGGAGTCGGCACCCTTAACTAGTACATGTATCTCATTTTTAGGTTTTCACGTGATTTTTGTTTCCACAAGGATCGCATTCGATATGTAGCCTATTGAACCCGAGTCTCGGGTCGGAACACTAACATCTCATTATCGAGACTCTTTGCAATTAATGATGACCAGAAATCTACCATAAAAAACTGTGATAACGCGATATACAATGGTCCTCCGAGGAACAGCACTAAACGTATCGAAGCCCATCACTGTAACTACATCCATTCTGTTTTGACGTTAAAGGTGTCAAGAGTGCTGGTATTTAGTCTAAGGTTTTTAAATATAACTTTGGAATAAAAGACATGATCAGGATATGTGCGATAAGAACAAACGGATTGATATGAGAAGATCCTGTAGTTCATTCTGGATATCACAAAACATTAAAGAATGTAGTCAATCATTTTGCATAATACAATCACACCATTGGTAATAAATAGTTGTTTTTGTTTTGTTTTTAAATCACAGAAAGATGATGGAATATTGGTGTTGTACAACGGTTTTGTATCTGTCAACAACACCTTATTTGGTTTTCTTGTTATTTGGCATTTCGGATTTTGAACACAAAGCAGCCGCTCAGAATGAAATAGACGGTTGTTACGAGGAATAGAATTATATATCCAAGTCCGATTTCACAATTAACTTTTTCGAACACATCTAAGATGACTCCGCCGATTGGGGTGGCGAGAGTTTGCGGTAAGATAAGGGCTAAATGCCAGACCGCCAAGTCTTTTGCATTGTCCTTTTCATCCGGTAGAACGTCCATGACCAAGGCGAAATCCACACTTGTGAAAGCACCAAATCCTATTCCTGAAAATATCAGAATAATATATCATTATCATAATATTAAGTTAATCTTCTGGACACCTGATACCACTTTCATTATGAAATACTTCATCATATCAGTAGTTTCTGTTAACTATGTCTTGTCTTTTGGAGATTGGGTTTTGCGGGTTTGGATCGCAACTACTAAATGACTCCACAATACATGCCGTTCACCAATTGAGGCGTCAACCAGGATCTCACCAAATACAGGCTTAATTGCCTCTCAAGATGTGCAATGCTAAACGTCTTTTGACGTTGTTGAACAAGTCGCTGGAAATCAATGGTGCACAGGACAGTGCATGAACAGTATGTAAATTCGAGATTTAAACTTACCGAAAACAAATGCCATTATAACAGCTACATAGAAACCAAAATCTCCAGTCATAAAAGTATCAGTAAGAGATGCTATTGCTAATAGAATTGCTAAAAATAAAATAAAGGTTCATATAAAAAATAGCCCGAACTAAATCTGAAGATACAACACAATGACCACCTGCATACAATTTTTATATAAAACAAACTCCTCAACTGACGCAAAGCTTAGGAAGTTCTTTGGCAACAGATTTCAGTTTATCACACATCAAGGCTCAAAACAATTACTTTGAAAGAAAGATTAACTATTCTGCAGATTGTGCGCTTCAAAGGCATTATATATTCATAAAGTACTTACCGCCGGCTGTTACAAAAATTTTCCTCTTTCCCTTTCTATCAGACAGTACGCCAAATATAACGGAACTGTAATATAAATAAAAGGTCTATACTGTTTTCTTCAGGAATGTATCCTGATATGTAATGTGAAATGATCGTAAAGCGTTTACTGTTATAGACAAGAACTAATTACTCTTCGCTGGAGGCAGTATGTTATTGTAAGAGAACACCACTTGAACAGGTTGGTATATCCAATTTCAGTAACTGATTAATGACAGGTCTCTGAGCTGATAAAGATCTGGTTACCAATAGTGGTTTACGTTCGGATCTTTGAAGATGTAAAATCATGTTGATAGACATAATAGGTGACGTTAAGCTTTAAGACGTACCTGAAGGCTGCAGCAAAGAAAAGAGGCAGTAACATGACCGCTACAGATGTAGCTGCTGTCCAACAATTTGGTAACTGAACCATGTCGTCTAACCAATACTCTAAAAACCTATAGAAAAATATAATAATTAAAAACACATTAGAGTGTATTAGGTTACAATTTCAAAGCATATTGACCTATTTTTGCAGTTTTATGAGCAAGTTACCTCCCTTGAAGTACAAAATTTGTACTGTGCCACCTCGATGATAAAGTGGCCGAATGTGTGAAAAGTGGACTGGACATTCATGTTTAAGACAATTGCTAGGGGGGAATGGGGATATATACAGTGGCGGAGCCAGGTTTATGTCTGAGGGGGGGAACTTGCTTTCGGGGCTGCGAGGGGGGGCGGCTGCCCCCTCTGCCCCCCCCCCCCCTTTGGCTCCGCCACTGTATATATAACGACAATTATTGTCTAGGTGACCATGCTTTTTACAGTAACAACTTACCCTGTTATCGTTGAAACACCTTGTTGCATTAAAAACCTAGTAAAGAACACCCATCTAAAATCATGTTCTGAAATAAGAGTTAATAACAAATGATTGAAGGAACAGTACCAGAATTATATTCAATGAGTTAAAGACGTGTTTGAAATGAGTAAGCTAATTGCCAATTTGCCTCGTCGCCATTGTTAAATACAGTGTACTCTGTGATATCCGACACCCGAGAATTCCGACATTCTGCGTAATCCGACATCATTTTCTGGTCCCGATTGATTTCCTTCTTAGGCTAGTTAAAAAAAACTAGAAAAACATTTGAAAATGTACAAACTGAACTGGTCTATCTTTTGAAAAATCATCCAATATCAGGAACTCTTTATGTTCAGCAGATTGCTCTGGTCCACTAATAAGATTACTTTCAGCTGATGTTGTTAGCATGATTTAGCATTAATACAATGTCACCTACCTTTCAATGGCTCCCAGAAACCACAAAATATCAATTTACAATCTAAAATAGAGGAGAGCAAGGTAAATTTGATTGATCTACAAAATTAGAAATCGCATCGGGGAAGTAGTGATGGTATCACTGGCGGTTCTATACACGGTTTTCCTTATAAGTCATTATGTTTGAAATGCCTTTATCAGAACAATGTACTCCTTTCGTTACATGATTCCATCTAAGACGCGGATCAACCTTGATGAAATTCACACAGCAGCCCGAGACTTACCTAAGGGATGGGAATGTATATCTTCTTTGCCTGGTGCTTCTGGTGTTGATATGACAGTAACTGCTACTGATATGATTAACATACCAATAATACAGCCATAGATACCAAGTACACCTATATGCTGTAATACAAGAAGTTGACATCGATAAGAATAGAAGAAAGAGGGGGAGAAGAAGAAGACGCTTCTAAGAAGGAGAAGCTTCCGATGTTGAGAATACAGTTACTACTGCAATGATCGACATATCAATAAAAATAGAAAAAGAAGGAGCGGTGACTCAACCATCTGAACCAATGCAATCAACAGATGGTGATTATGATAGACGAGCTAACCGATCTGGTGTAGTTCTATATTGGGAACTCACTAGATGTCAACTGTGGTTCAAAGATCATAATGTATCTACTACTCAACATTGATACTCATTGGTTGTTCATTAATGGTCAAGTTATTGGTATAACTAAGAAGAAGTGTATTACTTGCTTTGCGAGTCAGAAAATGTTAGGTATAAAACTTACTGAAAAACTTAGGCCAACTGCAGCACCAGAAACGTTGCCTAATAAAATCATAGCTCCCATTACACCAGAACTAAAACCTGGAAAATAGAAGATCGTTGGATGATCAGGATGACTTGCAGATGGAAGCCTCTCCAGACACTACATTAGACTGATTATTAGTAGGATTTCTTTCCAAAATCCAACATTGCCTAATAAAAGCATAGCTCCTATAGACCTGACCAGTCACTATATCATAAGAATTATTAGAAGAATACGTCCTTAAATTCAGAGATCCAATGGTTTCCTGATGTTAATTTACTTACTACTGCATATTGTATAGTTCTATCCATATAGTGATCAAATCACAACGTTTTTTTGCTATAAGACAGTGTTTAAGTAGTCTCGGTTAGATATTTGATTTCTTACCTCGTTGTGAAGGATGTGACTTATCAGCCACTAAGGCATTAAAACATACAGAAATAGTAGATTGTGATAATATAACTAACAAAAAGAACACAATGTATAATGCTGAAATAGAAAAAAAAGAACGTTAAGATTCTTTTGGATTCATCTAGGTGGACATGATGTTTTATTCTGGCGTGGAACCTGCTAGAATGTCTCAAGGACATATTTAGAGAATTAACGTCATGTGACCAAATGACTTCTATGACTATTTATTTGGTTTTGAAGGAGACTCATTCTCTTGCAACGTTAGAAATACCCACGCATTAAGAGACATTTTCATAAAAGGACACTAAAGACAAAGGTAAGTTCATCAGTAGTCAATCGAGAATTCTAAGAACAAAATTACACCCTGAACAAAACGACATGACTTTTTTTGCAGCTACATACCTAAGTTTCCTGATTTATTTAAAAGTTGTGGATTGTTGATGTTGGTTTCAGACACTAATAATACTGAGCCTGGTTTTGGGTTGCCCTTTTCAGGGATAAAACTTGGTGCACTGCCATTATAATAGGCATGACATCTTTCATACACCAGATCACGGTAACACTGGAATAGATATTGAATAATGTCATGTTGAATTCAGAACTGAACAAACAATATGATTTTTTGAACCTGTGTGTTTTTTCTAGAAACATACACTTTCGACACTTGCAGCTATAGATATTTTAGCAAATGCTGCAAAGAAAGCATGAACATACGTAATGCAAGGGTTATTGTATATGGGAAAAGAGAAACAAAGAAATACCAACCTCCGTGTTGTTGACTTGTGCATCACTGGTACTATCACTACAACAGAAATCACAAAGAACAGTAATAAAAAATAGAGAACGCATATAGAGTATAATTGCGAATATAATGCGCATCCTTCATAAAATTCACTGAAACATCCAGTCCCGGTGTCTTGTTTGACTAGAATTCAGAAATTATTGATTCTTTTTTAATACTGATTACATGAAGAAGACATCAGGATTAGAGCACTCGGGTTCAAACATAATCCAGGGGTACAAGTTCAAAGACATTAGATGAGCTCTTGTATATTAAGGAAGTCTACTTACGTGTCAACATGTGGAGCACTAAACGCCATACCAATGAGTCCTAAACTATAATGAAAAAAAAAACAAACGTTAAAAAGATCACCAGATCCATGATCCTATTTTTTTTCTCCATGATCCTATTAAATCCTTAGTATTGTCAACAGCGTTTCAAATGACTTTGCTTACTTCTTTAGGAAGTTATATTGTATACCGGGATCTTTAGTTTATTCCTTATTATCTCTTATAAAAAATACTTCAAAGTTTACTACATTGTCCATAAATTGAACGATACAAGCTACATAAAGCTGAACATTTTCTGCTGCATGTCTGTAATATGATACTACCGGAAGTAACTTACCAACTAAATATAGTACCAATCATCATTACTGGTCTTCTTTTACCCATCTTTAATCTCAACCTATCACTAATCATACCAACTATAGGGCTGACAAAAAACGTCACAGCTGAAAGATCAATGAGTTTGAGTATTATTGACTGTATTATAAGCAGAAGAAAATTGACGAAGTCTATGAATCGCTTAGGTCTATTGGCGTCAAAAGCCCGTTATTTCAAAGAATTTCTTGTCCAAACCAGGATCAAATTTGATAAACATGTCACATCTAAAGGAAAGACGAGCATCAGTAGTGATTTGTAGATTTTTAAAGTAAATATCGTTCTTGGGTAGGGTTATTTTACGCGGAAGCTTTGATTTTGTCATTTTTGATTTGTTACTCTTGTAATTTTAGGGATTCTATGCTACGCTTTACTATTGTTGATTATTGATTTCTTTAAATATCCCTACTGATAGACATCTACTTTGCATTCTTGTTTTACCCACAGTAGGTGCGATCACACGGAACGTAAGTGATCGATATCATCTTGATAACATAACTAAGTTAATGTATATTTTATACAAGAAGATTGATAAATGAAATACAAATTCCAAGCGGGAACAGATGTTCGTGTAATATAGATGTATATATAGCCATACATTGTCCAGGTTGTCAATAACTTCCTAATCTCTGGTCAACGATCTGCCCAAGCTAGCCTGGCGCTTTCTGACCTTATAGGATAGGACGGTCACATAAGACCCTAATTGATCAAAAGATGGATGCGCTAAACGCATCGACGACTGAAAAATCACATATGTGTGAAAAATCGCCGACGGGCTAGATGCCCGGAAATAAGACGTTTCTTCCAATTATATATTTAAAATCCACCCACTTTGCCTCGCATTAACTTGTCGTGCTTCGGCCTTGATCTGACGACCCGAGCCTGCATGTTTGCTCTCACACTGCATTAATGGATAACTGTCTGAATACGCATTACAGACGAGTTGAGCTCAATAGACGATTTGAGCTCAAGAATGTATCAAAGTATGACGTAAAAGGTAGAAAGAGTGGGAGGAGAATAAACACTTAAAAGTATATCAGGAAAATATAGTCGATTATTAGTGTGACTGAACATTTATAGTAACATTTATACGTGAATTATTAATAATGCTGACCATTTACAAGGCGTCAAACTTCTAACCCCCGTAATCCACCTCCTCGAGTCATATTGAGTCACTTTTCATTTATCATCCATTTCGTCTGGTTCGATTTTCAAATAAGTGAATATTATACTAAACAGGACCGAAGACAATGCTAACAGTTACAGCGAACAGAAAAGCTCTATCCATATTAATTCTATCAAAAACAGAGGATCATACAAAACTTAGTTATTATTTCGGTACAATGAAAATGATGTCTTAGGAGTGAATATTTTCATCACACATCAAGATGGTATGACTTACCTGAACCACCAGCAACCAAAGCACCAAAACAACTTCCTTTAGAAGCATCTCCAACCAAGGCCTGAATTTGAGCTGGGATCACTGAAAAATAATAATAACAATATAGCTATAATAGATTGTATCAGAAGAAAAAAACTGTGAAGCAAAAATAAATTGTACCCTTCTGCAAGGAAGTTTGTCATTCAGGTCGGTTCAATCTAAATTTCTCTTTTAAATGCATGACGCTATATAATGAAAAACAGTTTATTTAAGAATTATTTTTCGGGTAAATCAAAATTTTATCTGGAGTTCTATCATAAGACTCTACATAATGCATATTGAGATGAAAGTTTATTTGTTGAAATTTCCATAATAAGCATGACTATCATTAAGCGGTAAGTGAGTGAGCCATATTTCATCATATTTAAATGTGACAAAATTATGTCAAACGAGATAATATTATCTCCTTAGCTTGGAAGTATTCAGAAATACGCTGGCAGTAAATTGCCGCAATAATTTTATATTATACAGGTATTTAGGTGAAGCCCTTGAGTATTTTAAGATTTTAATTGATTGAGGTTGTATTCCATTAAGAATAAGCAAAGTAATCGTGAAAACGTTACAATCCCTCGTGTATAAGCTATCTTCCATTGGCAATCTCCAACAAACCCTTGGCAAACTGTCCGGAACCTTATGTATAATTGCATGTTTATTGGCATGGACTTCAAGTTGGCATCTCCCTCGAGACTAGATCGAATCAATCAATTGTTCAGTTGTTTCCCATCACGATTCTGTTTATCCTCAAGGGGAACATAGTGAACTCTAGCTCTGTGATCAGACAGCTTTTGTTAAATAACTTTACAAACAACACCGTCGAAGGACGGGTAGGCCTAATCTGGAACGTACTGACTCTTATCGGCCTCAAGGATTATAGTCGGTGACTCGAATCTTGAGTAAAATCTCGAGCACATCCACGACAAAATTATTACGTTGTGGACATGATTATTACTATTAATAAGTTTGATAATTGTCGCCATGATTATTATTATTAATAAGTTTGATATTTGTCGCCATGATTATTATTATTAATAAGTTTGATAATTGTCGCCATGATTATTATTATTAATAAGTTTGATATATGTCGCCATGATTATTATCATTAATAAGTTTGATATTTGTCGCCATGATTATTATTATCAATAAGTTTGATATATGTCGCCATGATTATTATTATTAATAAGTTTGATATATGTCGCCATGATTATTATTATCAATAAGTTTGATATTTGTCGCCGATATTTTATCTGTCTGTAATCATATTCATTTAACTTCAGGTGCATGATCCGCACGTGATTATCGCGACATAGTGGAAAACGACTTGAGAAAATGACTGCACTATTAAGAAATCATTAAAAAAATTACATTTGTAAAGGAAACTTTAGGGTGAAAATCTCAGGCAGTACCCCTTTAAATTGTCAGGTTCTCAAAGTAATTTGATTGAAGGAGTTTCAAGTCTTCATCTCACGTCTATGATACAATTTGAAGAGGAAGTAACCATTAATGACCTATGATTGGAATGAACCCTGGATTCGTTCAATACTCTAATGACCCTAGTTAATAGTAATTCCTAGTCATTTCTCTAATTTTAAAAGCCTGTCTGGTTTTATGTAGATTTTGTTTGATGAGTGGTATTCAGAATTAAAGATCGCTTCCAGAAATTGTCTTCAAATAGAACCTTAAATACTTTCAATCGAATTTGGAAACAGAGATTTGAATTAGGATAAACGTTTTATAAGACCGTATTTGAACGTTGAATAGAACTTGTTTATCGAACAGGATACTGAACATTTAAGTAGCACTAAAATAGAACTTGTTAATAAACATTGAAATAGGGATAAAGAATCTCAAAATAGATCGTAGAATAGAATTTGAAATAGGGATAAAGAATCTCAAAATAGAACGTAGAATAGAATTTGAAATAGGGATAAAGAATCTCAAAATAGAACGTAGAATAGTATTTGAAATGGGGATAAAGAATCTCAAAATAGAACGTAGAATAGAATTTGAAATAGGGATAAAGAATCTCAAAATAGAACGTAGAATAGTATTTGAAATAGGGATAAAGAATCTCAAAATAGATCGTAGAATAGAATTTGAAATAGGGATAAAGAATCTCAAAATAGAACGTAGAATAGAATCTAAAAGAGGAATAAAGAACCTTAAAATAGAACGTAGAATAGAATTTGACATAAAGATAAAGAATCTCAAAATAGAACGTAGAATAGAATTTGAAATAGGGATAAAGAATCTTAAAATAGAACGTAGAATAGAATTTGACATAAAGATAAAGAATCTCAAAATAGATAAACAATTAATAGGACAAGGATAAAGAACCTTAAGTAGCACTAAAATAGAACTTGTTAATAAACATTGAAATAGGGATAAAGAATCTCAAAATAAACCGTAGAATAGAATTTGAAATAGGGATAAAGAATCTCAAAATAAACCGTAGAATAGAATTTGAAATAGGGATAAAGAATCTCAAAATAGGTCGTAGAATAGAATTTGAAATAGGGATAAAGAATCTCAAAATAGAACGTAGAATAGTATTTGAAATAGGGATAAAGAATCTCAAAATAGAACGTAGAATAGAATTTGAAATAGGGATAAAGAATCTCAAAATAGAACGTAGAATAGAATTTGAAATAGGGATAAAGAATCTCAAAATAGAACGTAGAATAGAATTTGAAATAGGGATAAAGAATCTCAAAATAGAAAGTAGAATAGAATTTGAAATAGGGATAAAGAATCTCAAAATAGAACGTAGAATAGAATCTAAAATAGGAATAAAGAACCTTAAAATAGAACGTAGAATAGAATTTGACATAAAGATAAAGAATCTCAAAATAGATAAACAATTAATAGGACAGGGATAAAGAACCTTAAAATAGAACTTGCAGATAAACAATTAAAAGAACGGGGATAAAGATCTTTAAAATAGAACTTGCAGATAAACAATTAATAGGACAGGGATAAAGAAATTTAAAATAGAACTTGCAGATAAAGAATTAATAGGACAGGGATAAAGAACTTTAAAATAGGACTTGCAGATAAAGAATTAATAGGACAGGGATAAAGAACTTTAAAATAGGACTTGCAGATAAAGAATTTGGATTGGATTTTATAGGACAGGGATAAAGAACTTTAAAATAGGAGGGAGAAAATAACTTTTAGATAAACATTTGAATAGGACAAAGATAAAGACCTAAACAGGTTATATAGACCTTGATGATAAACATTTTTTTAGAACAGAGATGAATAGAACTGGAAACTGATGAAAATTGATGCTACATGCTGTACAAACATCATTAATTAAGCAGTGTTTTTACACAATTAGCCATCGATAAAAATCTCATTATGCTTACCTTCTACAGATAACAACAATGTCATAAAATTGAGACCAAATGATGCCATGTTTAGTAAAATAACAGAAAATTTACTCAGAACTTCTCGATTATCTTTGGTCTCGGGTTCCAACTCCTTATAAGGAGGTCTGCAAAAAGAAAACAAATGCAAATGTTAATAAAGCTTAATAGAAAACCAAATATTAATTGATTCCAGCTTCTTTTTAACAAAACATACGTATATATATCATGTCTTGAAATATTTCAAACGCAAAAAAAAAGATTTTCGAAGTCAGTTTTCCAACATCTCTAATCATTGGACATAGGTTTTTAAATTTCGGGAATTACAGCTGTAATTTCTATTGATACTAGAAAAACAATCAGATTTTTTTAATCTTTCTGACTTACCTTCCTTCTTCATCTGTATATAATTTCTTCATTTTGGCTTCTTTTCGTTGTCAAATATCAATCTATGACTTGCTCAATATTCAGAATTTTGATTTTTTTCTCAGCATCTGTTAACAAACAGAAAAAAAAATTATAATCTTGAATAAATGCCATAAGTTAATTAATTTTAATTGAGGAGGGATACTTATTCATTAAGAATTTCCTAATCACGTGACATTTGACTGACAGCTAGTGTAGCTTTAGGTTCTAAGTAAGTTATCATTTAGTTTTAAAAAGACAATTGTATAATATGACAATGACGAAGTATTGAATTACGAGTAGCGACTTCTTTTTCTTAAACAGGAAAATGAATTCTAGAAATTTGTCTTGATAAGTGGAATTTTAGCTTTTAATTTGTCAAAATTCACCATATTAATATATTCACCATATTAATAACATCTATGGTGGCCAATCGTTCTCATTAGGAAACAGGACTCTCAATTCCCTGATTAGATGTGAAGCTTAATAATGGTGCCATGCATGTCCGACATTGTCCGTCCGGCCATTCGTCGGTCCGTCCACAATTGCTTGTAAACTCTCCAGAAGTCACAATTATTTACAGATTTTGACAAAACTTTGTGTAATTCTTTATTATTACTGAAGGTTGAACCCCAAAAATAAGAAAAAATATAAAGTATGAGTTATTGCCCTTGTTCTTGAAAAAGCGTAACAAAAATCACGCTAAATTGCAACCAACTTGCGGGCCTGTAATGCTTGCATATAAGGAGGATTTTGTCATAATTATATAAATTTTCTTATTATTTAAAGCCATTGAAGAGACGTTAAGGATCTCTTTTAAAGAAAACTGCTTTTTAAAAATCTGCTAGCTATGAAACGATGATTTTTTATGTTAATAAATTTAAAAAACGTCTTTTAACTACCGAAAACTGTGAACACGCCAAATTATAAAATTATGCACAAAGTTTTTACTCTTTGTTTTGAACAAATATCGCCTGAAATGTACAAAAAAAAACTTCGAAAAATATCGTCAGAGGGAACTTTACCACTAAACTTAATATTGCCCCCCTTGCTTTATCTTATTCAAATTAAATACTAGCAAAGTACGTGGTACATCCAATCTGATTCGATCTTAACACTGTCTTCAAAAGGAAAGAAAGAACGCCAAGTAAATAGAAGTGAAAGTATAACATGTGTCAGTGTTAAAGCCTAACATTTAGAACGTGATGTAAACGAGGTTTCTGTGGACGATCGAAGTCTTGCTATTGTTTGTTTGGCTGTTAGCTCGATATGATTTAGAAAAATAGAATAACATTGTCACTTATGGTAAAGGAAGGACCCACAGAATCGATACATTTTTCGTGTTTCGTTGCTGTCACAATGAGTACTCTTAAATACTGTCTTCCGATGTACTGCCTCTTTTGTTTACATTTTTGAACACCATACATGCATTTTATGGATAAAAACTGTTTTTATTGTTAATTGTTTGGCATGGCCAAAGCAATGTTTTTGTACTAAAATGTAAAGCTTCGTTCTATTTCATTCAACTCCAAGTGAAAGATAGGCTTAATCGCGTGCCTCGAATAACAGATTAAGTAAAGTAACTGTATTCTTGAACAACTGAAGAAATTAGGTACTTGCGTTTCCCGTACAACTGATCTAGTAATTGGATGCAAATTAACAAGTAAAATAATAAGATACAAATTAAAAAGCAAAGTAATTAGGTACTTTGAACAAAAGCACAAGGTAATGTATGTTTTGAATGCCAGATATAGTAAAGTAATTGAGTTCCCTGAGCAACTGATCTATAGTGAAGTAAATTGCGTTCCTGAACGACTTATCTAGTAAAGTAATTGTGTTCTATGAACAATTACTAATGTAGTAATTCATCAAGAAATGAAATAATTGAGAACAAATAAACAAGTAAAGTAATAGCATTCTATGAACAACTGGGTTGATCAAGTAATGAAGTAATTAAGTGCAAATTAACAAGTAACGTAATTGGATAACTTAGTGACTAAACAAGTTTTCGGAACACTGAACAAGTAATCAAATCGTGTGCTTTGAACAAATGAACAGTAAAGTAATTTGATTACTTTGAACTTTGCTTAACAAGTGAAGTAATTACTTACTTATTAGTTTTCTTTGCATTTCATACAATCATGACTTTGTGTATAATGCACTTTTTTAATTCCACAAAATACGGGACACAAATTTCAAATATATTCCTTTGGTAAAATAGTTCACAGCAGAAAAGTATTGACTTTTATTGGCAAACTTCTTTTTCATAATGAGAACAGCCAGTTTCTTATCATATGGGCCAATTGAAATAAAAACCTTCAAGAATATATTTTACCCAATCAATAAATCAATACTATGAACATATCTTGATAAATTTTCTATATCAAAAAAGTTGAAATATTATTCAGCTGCTTATAGCTATATATAGACACCATCTGCTCACTTAAACTCACTGAATATCAAGGAAAACAAGTGATACTCCATCTTGAATTCTAAACGCAAAATTCACTAGCACCAAAAATTCCCAGAGATACGGTTAAGAGGATACAATAAATTTAGTGTCAGGCCATGCAGTGTGCAATTAAGGAAGTTTGGTCAGCGGCATAAGCCTTCTCCGATCACCTGCTGTGTGTGGATCTTTAACTTGAATAGTCTGTAGAATATTGTCTTATTGTCCCGATCGACTAGACGCTTTTTCTATGTCAACCCCTCTAACCTACAGCACTGGCATGGGGTTGAAAGGTTTTGAACAGTTGAAAGGAGATGTCTATATCTCTGATTGATACCGATATCTATGACTCTGTGACATTGTAGAATATTGGTTTGGATTTGATTTCGTATTCTTACCTTGTGTAGTTTTAATCTATAAAATACATATAGAAATCCATAAAAACAGATTTTTTGAAGCCTTCGGTTATATTGATTTAAAAGGAGACGTAAAGCCCACACATTCCGTCAAATTTTAAATCAGCTCTCAAACAGTAATTTAGACAAACTGGTTGGAATGATTTAATTTTTTAAGTTATTTCAAATTCAATTAGAAATTGATATGCATGAACCGTTTCACTTCAGATGTATCTAATAACAATATTCATCAAACGAGTTCAATAGTATTATTTATGGATTCTTTCAGAGAGATATACAGGTTTTTTAAAGTTTCATTGTTGGTTATATATTTCATTGTTACGTGACATTGCTAATAGCCTTGAACTTTTTAAAAACAGGCTTATTGAAAACCGTTTCACTTCAGATGTATCTAATAACAGTATTTATCAAACGAGTTCATTAGTATTATTAATGGATTCTTTCAGAGGGATATACAGTTTTTTTTAAAGTTTCATTGTTGATTATATTTCATTCTTACATGACATTGCTAATAGCCTTGAACTTTTTAAAAACAGACTTATTGAAAACCGTTTCACTTCAGATGTATCTAATAACAGTATTTATCAAACGAGTTCATTAGTATTATTTATGGATTCTTTCAGAGAGATAATAATACAATCTTTGCTGCTTTCATAATTACATATTTCAATATAACATTAATTCGAATCTTATGACCCTGAACTTTTTAAAAACAGACTTATTGAAAGCCATCTCATAATATTTAATAACAATATTCATCAAACGAGTGCAATAGTATTATTTATGGAGTCTTTCAGAGAGATAAACAACCTTTGCTGCTTTCATTGTTACATATTTCAATGTGACATTAATTCGAATCTTTGTTAATGGCCCTGAACGTTTTAAAAACAACGTAATTGTAATTTTAACAGACTTTGACTATTATCATTGTCAAAATGTCTGTTTTTGAAGTGTCTTAGAGAACAATAGATGACAGGATTTCCCTTCTAACTACTTACAATGAATCTGTTCGGTATAAGATAAGGTTTAAGAATCGATAATTCTATTCCAACATATCTTTATAGACTGGTATATATATATATATATTTGAATTAATGATATTCACTTTTAATTTGTTAACCTAATTTTTGTCATGATTTCATTTAAAATATGTGGCAGGTTTTGCACTGGCTTAAGTAGGAGACATGTGAAGGGGGAGGGGGTCGAGGAGGTCCAAAAAAATGCCAGGGGAGCCAAAGATAATTCTTTCATTATGTAAGCCGGGCCAGTCCTTTTCTGTGATGGACATTCCGACCCCTAAGTAGAAACGCCTCTGTAGTTTTTTGCCCTCCACAGGAAAGATGAACCATAATGATTCTAGCGAACACCTAAGGGGTAGCTGAAAGGTATCATAGGGCTATAACTAAGGCAAAATTTCTGTTGTCTTTGAAGTCAGTTGTCTTTCATCGCAATGGCAAAACAAAATTTTTGTCATATTCGGCAAAGGGCAATTGCTTCATTTGCCCTGATGTGGCTACGGCTCTAATAACATATGTCTCTGTTTCCCAAACGCCCCCATTTCGCTCATTATACAAAGGTTATGTCTGTCATCAGATAACGTGTAGGTAAGTTAGAAATATTCCAAACGCTTATAAATCAATGATGTAGAATGTCTGAAGTTTTTTTGTTATATATATCAGATAATATCAAAACCAATTGTGCAACGAGCTATCAGACTAATGAAATGATATCAATTAATTCCAGATAGGTATAATATACAATCCACAAAGAATGTACTATAAAGGTACCGGTATACTATCTCTTACGATGACCAAGAAATGAATTTTTTAAACTTTTTGACTTAATAAGTCATTAAACTAGGTAATTCTGAAAAATACTGGGACAGATGCGCCATTTTGGGGGGTTGATTTGAGTCTTGAAAATATGTAAATAATCTTCAGAAATACTAGAAATGTACGAAAATACCTCAAACTAGGAATTTTACTCACTATTTCTATATATGTCTTTTCTACATGTCACAGAGTATCTTAAATTGATGAGTCGTCATTTTAACATTCAAACGCGAATAATTCTGTACACACGTGGATTTGAAGGCTCAACTTTCGCCAGTGTGCTGTGAACACTATATTACTGATTGGCTTAGCTAAAA